GATAATTTTAATTCTACTAATTGTTTTATATAGATTAGTTGCATCGAGAGAATTATGCTGTGATAGTGTGCCAGCATGGAAACAAGTGTTCCGAAAAACAATTTTAAATTTAACAAACTATAATTACAATTTACAATTTTTTTAGCAATTTTATCAGAGGAACATCCACCCAGTTTACAAGGGCAACTATCACAACAAAATTCAACAACAAAATTCTATGAAGCGGCAGGCTCTATGCACTGATAGTAGGCCTCCGCTGCGGACAGTATTGCCGCGTCACGTGGTCGACTTTCCACCAATGAGAGCGAAGAAAAAACTGTTGTTGAGTCATAAAGCTTTTTATTCCAGATTTTGTTCTTTATAGTTTGACGTCATTGTCAGTATCACTTCCCTGAGTCAGCAGTCTGCGAYACAMGTGCTTGAGTTTCCAATCTCGTACATAGAGCCCGCTTAACTTTCGGCCAGCGGAGAGATCGGACCCATTTTTTTTTCTCGCCGYCKGACGAAAGTTACGCAGGCTCTGGGTACAAGATTGTTGAGTTTGTTCCGAAAAATCCCTACTGCGTCGATTACTACACACCAGTGCTGAGCGATATCTAATCTATTTCAGTGACTAATCATCAAAAACCACCGGCTGATGGTTAAAATATGACAAAATATTTCATACATATAATATATATAGTACTGCCGGACCTTTATCTTTCATAGATTTGTCCGTAATATAGATGTGTCTGTAATATAGAGGTGTCCGTAATATAGAGGTGTCTGTAATATAGAGGTGTCCATCATATGACGGTGGCTGTATGTTCGCTATAGATTTGTGCATAATATAGAGGTGTCTGTCTTGATATAGAGGTGTCCATCATATGACGGTGGCTGTATGTTCGCTATAGATTTGTCCATAATATAGAGGTGTCTGTCTTGATATAGAGGTGTCCATCATATAACGTTGGCTGTATGTTTGCTATGTAGAGGTGTTTGTATTGATTTATAGATAAAAAATAGTGACGTCCTAACAAATGAAGCCTTGCTGTCCAACCCGCAACTTTTACGATACGTACGTACATTTTTTCTACGGAACTGTTCAGTGGCAACAGCTCTCAAGTTCTAGAYTATTGCGACACAACGAAGAACACATCTTATGTACAATTACTGAATCATTGGTTAACGGAATCTCTATTATATAACAAGTACCCCAAAGTAGGTCACGATGAGCTTGWGGACCACGTTGACGGAATAGTGACACTTTGACTAGTAGAGTTTCCTYTGAGAAACAAACATTGCAATTTACGCCAGGTTTGCGACGCGCTGTTACTAATGGCTACAGTCGACGGTCTTCTGTTGACCGGAAAGTTTTTCTTTGACGTAAACATGGACTTGAACGCAACGCGAAAGTTATCGCTYACTAAAGCGTAAATGAAAGGATTGCATGACGAGTTCAACACTGTTGTTACGATACAGAAGTTATAGATAACCCATAAATAACGAAATGTGACAAGACCCGGGATGAAAACCAGTGTGAGACGGAAAACRTTGACGGGTAATAACGTAGCGGCGAAGACCACAACGACTGGTGTGAGTATCTTYCGCGCACGATTGTTCCGTTTCATTCTCCTCATCTCAAATCGCGAACACGATTCGCTGTTCGCTCTCCTATTTTTCAGCGTGTTTTGGTTGAAGGCATCACTTTGGTTGATTTTACGGAATATTTTCCAGTAGGTCCATAATATGATGGTTAATGGGAGCACATAGTTAAAAACGGACGCCACAGTTGTGTACCCTTGGTTCATGGCGTCGTAATTCTCTTGAGGCCATTTCTGAAAGCAGTCCTTGTACCCATACCCTTCCCAGTAGCTCGTCACGATGAGAAGAGGGAGACTGATAACAATGAAGGAAGCGAGCCAAGGAAGGCAGCAAATGCAGATAGCTTTTTTGAGGGACTTTAGGTGGCTGTCATTCACTATTCCACGGTATCTGAAAATATATTTGCCATTATTTCATACTGCTATATCTAGGGGACAAAATAGATGCAAGCCCTCAATATGGAGTAACAATYGTTTGTATAGTTGTTCCCCAATGAAGGGTGCACAGTGCAGCTTAACAGAGCAAAAAATAGCGGGAAAGTTTGATGGTACGCGCGTCTACCACTCGAAAAAGGCGGGAATCGCAAATGGGAAAAGAAGTGGATCGTCTATAACACATCCATATTTTTCGGGAACTCCGTTTGGAACATCGCGAACCATTTCAAAGTGGCATTCCATCCGGTATAACCAGAATTTTTCGACAAATGGAAAGCGCCCCAGCTAGTCTCTATGCACTGCAGATTCTACTCCATATCAAGGCTGCTTTGACATTACATTCATAGTGTTTATAACTTTATTAGTCACGGAAAGATAAATCGTAGGCTTGAGTTTCTTTTAAGTCTAGATTTCATTAAAAGAGGTTTGTTCAACCGGCATCTCTTGCGAGCTTGCGCATGCTTATATATATTTGAAAAATATATATATATTATATCAAAGAGGCAAGATTTAGCTGTAACTCCGAGTTTCGTGCTACGCACTTCAGACAGTATCTGATGAGTGCGTAGCACGAAACTCGGAGTTACAGCAAAATCTTGCCTCTTTGATATAATATATATAACTAGCTCTACACTTTATGTGTATTGAGCACTCTTTAATGGGATCAGCCACTTCCTCATACGATTATATTTGAAAATAAAAATGCATCATAATATACACAAAAATTTACTCTTTATTATCCCTTTATGCTCTATAAATGCACATATTTTAAGATTTGATCTGATGGAAACGGGTTGCGAATGAATATTTGAAGTCACCTAATTTGTGTAAAATAATAAAATACGACCGCATTGAATGCTGGTTGACTGTGCCCCCTTGTGCATTTCCATCGATTTAGTTGTCTAGTCTTTACCTGTTACTTTCTTTATCTAAACATAAAGATGTTACGTCAAAATGATTACTTTTCAGTAAAAAAAACAAAACTAATTGTAATGAATAACTCCAAGTAAATGAATTTCGACCGAATTAGTAATCTTATCTTTCCTGTTGCCTTTTTGTATCAAAATATCAGTGTTGATACGTTAAAAAATAACTATAATTGTAGTAAAAACAAATTAAATTAAATATTTGAAAAGGGCTAGCCAAAATTGWATAGTTCCTGTCTTGGAATTGATAAAGCTGCTAACTACAATTACCCCACAGGGCTTAAAATTAATAATAAAGGAACTAGGGTTTCTATYGTGGGTTCGGTTTGCCGGGTAAACTCAACAGCGAGGGAAAAATGCAAAAWTTTACACAGCTACACTGATCTCGTATTTCTTAAAACAATTTTGCGAGTTAAATTTTGCCAGGTTGATATTTATGATTAAGATAATCAACATTAACAGTGGAATAAAAGAAGGAAATTTSAATTTTATGTCGTGAAAAAAGGTGCCGAAGTTTGCATGCCAGTTATTGCTTTGTTGATYCGGAAAACAATCAGCGCGCAATTAAAATAGAARCGAATTTCAAATGTATGTAACTTATGAAGTCAGCTATTTACAAAAACGTCTTTTACGAGTATTGTCTGAAGATCAGGTGTGTTTTTTATCAATATAATCAGAAAAATATTTGTCCCAAGCTAAGGCATATGCTTTCCTTGATTTGTAATAACAAAAACCCTAAGTTGACATCGCAATAACTCCATCGAATCGGTCTTCCCACAAATATGGAATTATTTCACAAAATTCGGAATCTTTGTAAAAATAACTTTCAAAAATACAAGCCATTGGTTATTGACGTACCCTCAGGAATTGCTAAGCGCACTAGGGGAACAGCACACTCACGCCATACTTAAGCGATTTTTCAATTCAAACAAAACCTCCATAGATCAAATTGACTTATAGAGGCAATCCTGCCGAGTTGCACACCAAGACTAATGTCAATGTCGCCTCTGGCGGCTTCATTCGTTCATTTATTTTGTTTTCCATTAAATCGTCGTTGCTTTAAAACCTTATTTGTATCCTGCCATTGTATTTTACACCGGAATGAAGTCCTTAAAATTACGTGGTTTAAAAWACAAAATATATTAAACAATGGCAAAACAAACACGGCGAATTTTCTTCAAAAAARATGACTTTTTAGAGGATTTTTAATCTAATATRCAGTGGGWGTGCTTTTCCTTTATATTATCGGCGTGAGTCAAGTTCCAGGTGTCTGGCATCGTTGGCGAGTAAAACATGGTTTGTAATCCGAAAACAAACCAATTACTTTTATTAAAGTGTCAAAATATTGGTTTTGTGGTCAGAACATTAAGCCAGGAGCAAAAATTGTAAAGAATACTTCGCACAATTCCTTAAGGATGGTTCAAACTGACGATTTTGGAAAATAGTTATAGATTTTTTCTTATACTTGTGGAGAGACCTATTAATTGGCTCGTCTTAGTAAACCGAATAAACATTATACAAGTTAAGTGTTCACCAGGCTCAAAATGACCGCAAAAATGGCCACAGAACTCGCAAGTGTGAAGGGGGCTTTTAGTTTACAACTGCTTTATACAAGACATTGTCATGCATTTAAACTATAGTACGGGATTTTCTACATTTTATAATTTGTCTTCTAAAATGGCAGCATACAGAAAGGAATAAAAAGCTTATGTTAATTTGGAAACAGTTATGTAAGATCTTATCAAGCCAGATTGAATATGGGTGGAATTAATTAAATTTGATATACTAGAYGTTCGTACTGTTTTCACTGATAAAATTATTTAATCTTGGTGAACGTTTATTAAATTTGACGAAAGATAGATTTCTGGGATAAGTCCCTAGAATACAACATTCTGTGACGCAAAAGAATTCCGGAKCGTTTATATTGCTGATTCATTATACTAATTRCCTTATCGATAGACCACAACAATTTTTTATTTATTGCTTTCAACGTTATATCCCAGCGCTTGAGAGCCTASTTTTCTARGCTGTGAGATAGAGCACAGCGGCGTCGAGATCTTTGAAAGTTTAGTACTCGCGTAGGAGTTTAAAGAATCTAAATGATAAAAATGCAAGTACATTTTGCGAGWTATTGAAATTTTGAAAAGCTGTTTTTATTGATGCCCTTAAGAGTGTATTTATTAAAGCACCTAGATATTTTCAGAAACGTCTAAAAAATATACGCTACTTAACTCAGATAAAAGTACGTTTTTACAGCCAATCTAGAGGCGCGCGCAGAGTGAACTTAATTGGTTTAATAATTGAAAAGTTCGCGGTGTTTCGATGCCTTTTATTGATAGCTAAAACTATAGCCTCGGGCGTGATGTTTTAGAAGTGTACTTTCAGAAGTGCATTTAACTTTKTCATATCGTGATAAGTAAGCCATGAAATTACATAGAAGGGGATTTATAGCTGGAATGGAAGTAAACATATGCGTAAGAGTGATTTTCCGTCTGCCGTGAAAGAATACTAAGGCCAAGTAGCTTGAAGTAGGCTTCACAGCCACTCTTTCTTTTTCTACGTCGGCATCAAAACACCATTTCCAATTTTTTTTTGGCAGGATTTTGAATAGACTTTCTTTTTCAGTATTAAAGATTGGAATAGAGCCTTCGTTTTATGAGGAGTTGGCTACAATATTTTTATGTATTTCCATCAAATTCAACTATCAATATTTTAACTAAGAATTGAAAATGTACAAATATTTTGGTCAAAACTGGTATAATTCGGGATATTCTGATCTTTATTATATCTGATAGCTTGAGTTAATTACTTTATTTTTGTGATCATTTTGTGAAGTTATGTTAATATAGTACGTAGAATGAAGAAATAACTGCAGCCATGCATGTAGAGATGAAGGAGATGGTGGCGGAAAAAACATGCGGACACAGTGCTATGGACTTACAAAAAATAAACAAACCAAAAGAGGCCTGTTCATTGTATTACATGAGGTCTTGGTCCACTGTTTCTAGGTTGCTTGTTATTATTCGTGTCTTAGTAGGGTCGCAACGGGCGAACTCCACACCTTGAGTAAGCATTCTAAGCCATTGAGAAAACGTATGGATCATTTCTGATATAAAAAGCGCAGATTTTTTCTGTCTTTGTTTCTTATAAATGCATTAAGCTATACTACCGCTCTGTTATTGATTCTTATTAATTTACATTTAAAGCTAAGAGAAACGGCTAACTAGAACCATTCAGTGAAGATTCCGCCATGATCTAAATATAGTACTAGAGAGTTCTCTTTACTGGTGGTTTACTCGGTAGGATCAAACCTTGCAGGCAACTTCTTATACATACCAAAATGTTAATCCATCAAAACAAAACATGATTCAACAGTGCGTGTTGTTTTAACGATTTGACACATTGTTAGGTTTGTAGTGAGCTCCTTAATTGGAGGGAAAGCAGTGAAGATTTCATAACTATACACTGCAACTTTGACTTATCTCCCACAGTGTACAAGGAGCTAGGAATTCTTTACGCATCAGCCAATTGAAACCCCGGCCCCTCCAACATCAACTCCCGGGTAGGGCCGGGGAATTAACACATTTTAGGCGGGGATTTAACAGCGCAGTCAAAGGAGGGGGATTTAACGTCTAAACACAAAGGAATGATCAGTTTAGCCGGATTTTTTGCCCTCTAAGAGCCGGGAAATGACAGGACTTTAACATTGTTGAATGTAATTTACCCAGTAGTACCCGGGAGTGGGGTGGGGGATCGTGATTTAGAGCATTAGAAAGACTTAAAAACACGCAAGTACCAGACACTATCTACTTGAGACAAGTGTGTGTGAATTACGATAAATTTTTTGACTGCAATTTTTTTGTATATTTTGCTAACCAACAGACGACAAATAAGTGAGGGTTTTAGTAGGCCCTTCAATATAAAAAAAAAAACAAGTGCCAAACAATCTAAATCGGGAAAAAGAAGCTTCAATGATCATTTATTATGCTTGCTTATGAGAATGTTGCTCTCTCGAACAGTTACGGGAAACCTAGAGCATTTCAAAAACATCAAAAGATTCAATGAAAAAACCGCTTTCTCTAGTCCCACATGCAAAGTACATTGAAAGTATAAAAAAAGTTTAATTAAACTTATATAAGCCGCCAGAGAGGTTCCTTGTATGTCCCCCTATGCCCCCTCAATAACTATTCCGGATAATAAAGAATTTTTGACATGAACATTTTCCACGTCCTAACACGTACAAAGGTTCCCGGAAATTGTCCAAAAGTGTCCGAAACCCCATACTAGCATATAATATCACCGATTTGTCTGGACTAGCGGTAAATCTTGAAAATGAAATATCTATATTTAGCTAATTGTTTTATTAGATTTTTTAGATTTGYGCAAAGTGTTCGGAAATGCATGACATGATCAACGTTTATTTTGTAGTTTTGTACTTTGCAAAATAATGAATTCCGGAAAATTACAGTATAAGTATGTACCATATTATTAAACTATATACTGATTTTACATAAATATGTGGACCTCGTGGCTCTAGGAAATACATGAACTGAAAATATGTAGGAAAGTTATAGAGCTTAGGAAGGAGGTTATTCCGGACGAAAGACCCGGCCTTGGAAATAAACTCGGAAATTAGGTCGGAAATTATTTTTTCCGAATTCATTTCCAAGGGTATTTCGCCTACAATATCCTTCTCTCTAATCACTATAACTTTCCATTATTTTCATATTTTTCATAATCAAGGAAGCCAAAGTGTAAAAGTATTTGAAAGTTTGTAATGGATATGTAGGTACAACATCCGAGTTTGTACGTGTTGCATTTTTCCCCCCCGCGCATTTCTAAGTACGCATATACAAGAGCATGACATTCTCCACAACAACAACAACAAAAAAACATATTCTAGAAAAGTGTTTAAATTCTCTACATAATAATTTTTCTAACTTAAATACCGTTGCTAAAATGAAACAAAAAATAATAATGTTGGCGTAAGCTATAAAGTGAAAACAATTAAACCCATGAAACAAAAACTAAAATTCAAGGTGTATTAGTCTAATAAATGTAAAAGAAAACAGTGGAATTAGAGACTTCCAAGGTGTATTAGTCAATATCTATTTCACGAGTTATGGTTGGTTTTTCTTAAATCCGTGAAACAGAGTGTAATAACTAACATATAATGTGTGAAACACTGAAAAGAAAAACTTGAGAAAAAAGTGCAAAATAAACAGAAATAAACTTGTAGTAAGCTAAAGTGCACTTCACGGATTTTGCAAGAAAACCACTCTAAAATTATTTATATATAATAGCACGCAAAAAACAGTTAAATGTCAAGTTATATCTTACCGATCGACTGCAATGACTACCATGGACCAGACGGACACTCCGATAAAAATCTCAGACAAGGGATATATAACTTGGCACATCACTTCCCCCAAAGGCCAATGAAAAAACGTCTGCTCTCGAACCACAGCGAAGGGAAAAGACAGCACGAGCACACCAATGTCAGCAATGGCAAGATTACGGATAAACATGTTGGTGACGCTGTGCATGAATGGGCATCTCGATATAGCAATCACTACTCCAATGTTTCCAAGTATGCCAAACAACGCGATGAGCGTCTCTACGGTAAGACGTAGTATGCGAAACCATTCCGGCTCTTGAACGTACTCTGGCAGTATGATCATCTTTGAAAGGTGAGCTGTCTTGTGCGATTTTCACGGACTTTTGTTGCACAAATCAAAACAGTTCAGTTGTCTAAGGAAGAAAAAGGAGARCTATTATAACCAGTAAAACCTTAGAGTATATCAATATATATCTAATGCGATGGTTTGACGGCGAATATGCTCCAGTTTCCAAGTAATATGGAACTTAAGCTGGAAGCGAACAAGACAGGTTTGATAAACACCGACTAGACAAGAATAATGAAATTAAATCTGAAGAACATAAGAAGATACAAGAGGATACCGACATTGATTCATTAATGGWGATTACATCTACATCACGTGGCGTCAATCAGCCAATCCCAATTGGGATTCGTTTTCAAAACAAGCCAATCAGAGTGGAGATACTAACCCGACGTCAAATCCACCAATAGCAGCTGTTTTTTTGCTTTGAAATGAGCCAATCAGAATTTAGTTTCGCGCTGTTTCTGTATAATATACTTATTCCTATGGTTTGTACAATAAAATCAACAACAAAATCAAAGATGTCTGTTCTAGAAAAGCCCGAGATCGTGTAACTAACAACTTATTTTTGGCATTTTATTCTTTACTTCGTGAGAAATGACCTCCGCGAGAACTGTCTTCATGGTTTGTTATGATAAGCACAAATGTTGCCCCTAGTGAAATCAACACACACTCTTCGATATCATATATATCATCTTATGTAATATGGCGGGTTAAAAGTTCATGAAAACACGAAAAGTATTCATTTGTATTACAGCTTTATCGCTGTAGGAGTCCGATCCTGGTGAAAAGATCAACTTGTTAAGATTCGATTCAGTAATTAGTAGTAGCATGATGCTAAGCTCTTAAGAATCCATTAGTAAAATTTAATGCTATCTGTAGAATATACTGGAGATGGGGGTAAAGATAAGCCGTGGTGATTCATGATTAGGAGAACGAAGCAGACGGGGTCTGTTCTTCTAAATAAGTGTTGTTCTTGTATGAATTTTTTCCTGGGAAAATGATTTTTGAGCTGCTTGTCGACAATCTCACAAGCAAATGTGGCGCTCTTAATTCCTTCTTTAAATAATTTTGTTCCTAGTGACCAACCTTTTTTAAAAAATTCGCCAAAAAATGTCAAAAAGGATTATATAACGTATTTATGATCAAAAACGCCTTACATTTTGTTTAGTTAGGAAATCCTTATTTTCCTCGCAAAGATTCTTAGAAAGTATTCCTTGCCTGAAGAGTTCTTTTTCCTGAATTTCTCGCTGGCAACCAGTTGTGACTTACAGCTGGCTGGGACATAAGAACAGATATATTTATCCCAGGAACCCGTCGGCTCTTCCTGATGGTTGTTACYCAGTCTGATAGTGTAAATGTTACTGACTTTGTGAAGACAGAGAATGGTAGCCTTACGAATAATAATTGTTATTCCTGTCTTCACTAAATATTCTAAAAAAAATCGAGTTCTAAATTCAATTATATTACTGAAAGATAACATAGTAACTTAAGTATTACTGCAGGCTATTTTTCATAATCTACCATTTTTTAGAAAGAAGCATCCTCGTCTCGGCGGTCCTTGTCTAGCCCTTGCCTTCGGCTCATGTCGGCTCTCTCTAAACTTGTTTTGATCATAGAAATAAGGAACATTCTTAGACGAGATTCCCTGAATATTTTCTACTCTGTTGATAGAGCTTTTTAGGGTCTTTGCAGAATTTTTACATGCAGGATATGATTAAGGAGTCAGACGGTACGTATACAGTGAGGTAGAAACTTGTTTTTGTAGGGATTTTAACTATGTTTCCAGTTTCCATGGGTTGATCGAGCAAATAAAAACGTTTTGGAGAAAGTCCCTGGGATTTTAAAACTATGTTTATGGTGTTTTGTTTCATTATAAAATGTAAACAAAAGACTGATTATCTCTTGAAAATAGGGATATTACTTATCCTTATAAATCTCTATAATCTCTTTGAAATTCTTCTTTAGTTTATTTGACTTTGGTTTTACGTATTAATCTCAAATTTAAATGTCTTTTGTCGGTATAAAAAAAGACCCGCATGGTGTAATTTATACTATATGTGTGTGAAAACGTTCTAGCTCTCGCTGTACTTGGACGGATAGTATGTAATAATCCCTTTTAGAAAAACACTGAAATTTTCGGATTTCGAAATAAAGACTAGAATACGGACGGAGCCAGAAACTATAAATAATTGCTAATCAAAGTTAAACCTTCTGAACGACATTATCGAGAACTGATAACACTTGTCACCATGTTGGATACCTATAAATTTAACTGACATTCATAAAATGGTTTGTCATGAACACCTGAATCTTATGTTTTTTATGATAAGCTTCACTGAACCATAATTAATGCAAACTACCAGAGAAGCAGACGGGGTCTGTTCATCTAAATAACTGTTTTTGTACGATTTTTTTCCTGGGAAGGGGATTTTGAGCTACATTGTTGACAATCTCACAAGCAAATGTGGCGMCCTTCCTTCTTTAAAATAATTTTGTCCCTGGCAAACCAAGGCAAACGTTTTTGTGGTCAAAAACGGCTTATATGTTTTTTTAGTTAGGATTTTTTTTATTTTCCTGGAAAAAATTCTTGGAAAGTAATCCTTGCCTTGAGACTTCTTTTTTCCTGAATTTCTCGCTGGCAACCAGTTGTGACTTACAGCTGGCTGAGACTTGAGAACAGATATATTTCTCCAAGGAACCCGTCGGCTCCTCCTTAAACAACGCCACYGACATTTGTTTAAGGGCCATCAATGGGTCAAAAGGCATGCATCCCTTATTAATGTGTACGCGCGTTTAGAAAATAAAGATACGGATAATATAATCAAAAACGTATTTTTTTCTACGAATGGACATCCCCTGTAAAAATGACGGATCGAACGCTGCGGGAATTTCTTGAGTCTGGCTCATTTTCTCATGATTAGTTACTAGCCTAAAGAGTAAAGCTGCACTAACGAAAAGAAATTTTGAATCATTTCGACGTTTCGACGCTTTCCGGTGTCATTCTCAAGAGAAAATAGAATAATACTTCAAAAAGCAAAAGTTATAAGTTTGAGTGTAAAGTCCCAAGAGGGTAGAGTTAGTAAAAGATCTTCGCCTTGACGTTAGTTACTAACTATATGACAAATCTAAAGACACTACCGCATTGAATGCCTGTTAGCCATAGCCCTTTAGATATATCAATGATCCTGGTTGCTTAATTATTCTCGGGCTATGTGTAATGACTTTGCTGTACTCAGTCTCTATGGAGATTTTTAAAATACAGACAGCAAAATTCGACGTGTCTAAATGGACATTTATTAGTATCTTTGAATTAAAATAGCAACCAACAACAAGTGTATATTAGCATTCTCATTATTCTGTTCACTTGACATACGCGTGGGACATCAATTTGAAATCATTTCAAACGCCATTATATCGCCACGATTAATTCACATGAGATATTGCTCAAAGCGCTCGATTTTGTAAAAGAAAGGGAGCGAAACCTGTCCATGGATCACTGAAAAAATACACGAAAGAACGAAGACTTGGCTTATAAGTCCTTGCAGAATAATGTCGCTCTAATCAGTTTACGGAGTGATTGTCATTATCATCATCATGATTGCTAGCATGCGTACTAGATATGTACAAAAAAATAAATGAATAAATAGAGGATATTGCATGGGCGCGCGGAGATACGGATTTTATCTTCGAGTTGAAAAGATCTCTCACGAGTGAGCGCAGCATATGAAAGTAAATCATGTCGTAAAATAGCTTTTTTCTTACTTCCACTATAAAGAGAAACCTCTAGTTATGATAAATTTAAATAATATAAATGAATACAAAACAATTTAAACGTCCCAATAAAAAACTTTCTTTCCAAATGTGTAAGTCACCGCCAATACTAATGACAATTTTGCGTGCTTCAAAAACCGCACAAATCAAGCTGTACGGTCAATTAACGAGTTAGAATGATGATATCAGGATTGCTGTCCATGGTTATAGCAATCTAATCTTAACTTCTCTTATTTATAATTAATTGTTCGTCTCGGTTTTAGAGATAAACGACTTAAAATAGTGATCTTTTGTACTAGTATATTGGACTTTATCATTTTAACAGTGGTCAGTATAATTGGTTGTAAAAACCACCTGCAAAAAAMCGGAACTTTGAAGATTTTATTTAGTACAATTAAGGTGTTCTAGATACTATCGACTCGACCGCAAGGCTTCTTGAATGAAAGACTGAGGTGTTAATGGCTCACGTTGTGAAGGATGGGCCGTGTACGACAGAATTCAGAGATAAACATTTAATATTGTCGAGACTAAACACAAAATAAAAGGAAAGTAAAAAAAAGTCAAAGGCGTTTAACTTGAGAAACAAAATCTTTGAGTGTTCACGAAAAAAAAACATGAAAAAAATGATAGATTAACTGAATAATGAAGTATAAGTGCTGATTTTTCGTGAATTGTGCTAATTCCTTTGATTTCTATTGTCCAACACTATAGTGCTCAATGACCGCTACTTTTTAGTACTTTTTCACGCTTTTAGGCGCTTACATCGACTCTAGTCCCTTTTTCACTGAAATGAATTGATTTAGAGATTAAACAAGCTCTGTGTTAATAAAACAACAAAATCGCCAAGGAGAAATATCTAAATAGACACATACAAAAATTAACCACGATACTGAATGTCTATAAACAAAGAATTTAAAATTTCTACATACGTTTGATTAAGTTGTTCTTCTTAAGATGCTCTGCCTTCTTCTGAAAGATTTGTATATGGTTATGTTGAGTTAACTACGCATGCCCATGACGCACTATAGCACAGCGGGCTCAGATGTTGTGCAGATGGGGACTATATCTCATAATCTAAGTTCTACAGCACCCACAAAGGAATATCCGAAGCAATATTTTCACAATTAATACGAATACAAAACTGTTATCTTGAAATACAATAACATGCTTTATCTGCAAATTAGGGAATATCAAAAACGCATGTGTTGTATGATTTCTGAGCAAACCCCACATGGTCTAGAGCGTCATTATTCTTAATTTGTTATTTTGCTAGTCACGAACTTTTTCAAAGATAAG